CATGATTAATAATTATAGATAATGCTTTGGGTGGGCAAAATGAAGGATCCAAAGGGTTAGAGCTAGATTTGCACTTTATATAGCCTCCTTTATCTTTGTGTAGTAGGATATATACACATGTGTGTGTGTGTGTGTTTTGCCAACTTTGAGATATATTATACATCTATGATTGTAATTGATTTTGTGACTAGGGTTTGTTATTTTCCTAAGCTTTTTTTTGAAGCAATCATAAGAGTTTGTATTTAGGTTAGTAAATTATTGAAGATTAATTATTGTACTAAGATATTATTAAATGTGGGATGTCTAGCCATTTTTGTTAATCCAAGTCTTATGGTCTTGTGATATTGGTAGGAAAATTGTGATTGATATTTATATATAATTTTGATAATGATGTTCATGATTGAAATTTGGTTTGAAATTTGCCATTTGACTCTCAGGAATTGCTTGGTTAACTTATTGAGTTGGAATGTCAATTATAGTATGAATGCTTAGGTTTTATGAAAAACTAATTTGTCCTTATTGTAGTGTGATCCCTACTAATGGATTATATCTTGCTTTTATTTGTTGATAACTTTGATATAGTACATTTGTGAGCTCTGTGATTTTGAAAATTGTTTTTTTGTCCCGTTTTCAAAGAGTTTTCTTTTGTCCTTATTTTTAATATCCATAGTTAATATATTCTACCATGATAATAGTTAATTAGGAACATTAGCCTTAATTGCCATGGTAATAAGGTTTAATAAGTAGGTTAATTATTTTAGGTATTACAAGATAGAGTGGCCTTTCCTTAAAGGCACCCTTAAGAAGCTAGGAATTAATGATACATGGTCTATTTGATAATGGCTGTGTTGAAAGTGCAATGCTCTAGGCTTTCTATAATGATAAAGCCTGATTGAAATTAAGTCATCAAGGGCGCTTAGGCAAGGAGACCCTATATCTACCTACCTCTTTAACTTATGCATAGAGAGACTTAGTCATGTCATTGAAGATGAAATACAAAGAAGTAACAAGAGCCTATTCAAATTCTCTAAGAATAGTAAGGGAATTTCTCATCTCTTCTTCACAAATGATCTCGTTCTTTTTTGTGAAGCTAGTATTGCTCGAATGGATATCATGATGAATTGCATTGACTCCTTCTATCATGCTTCAAGCCAAAAAATGAACAACAATAAAATACAAATGTGTGCCTATAAAAACGTCCATTTTTCGAGAACTTATAACTTGAGTTCAAGACTAGGTGTGACTCTTTTTGGGGATTTAGGAAAGTTCCTTGGCATTCCTTACTACATAAACATGCTATTGCTAGCATCTTTGACCCTGTTATCAAGAACACCAGAAAAAGGCTACTAGGGTGGAGGGGTAAGTTGTTGTTGATTGCTGGAAGATCAACCCTCATCAAAGTAGCAGTCTTCACTTTTCCTAGATTTTACGTGCAAATGGTGCTTATTCCAAAAAGATTTTAGATAAAGTTGGAAAGTATAATCCATGTTTCCTTTAAGGAGACATAGATGAGATGGAGAAAATACACCTTCTCTATTAGCAAAAAGTGGTATCTGAGAAAGATTTTAGTGACTTGGGTGTAAAAGATCTCCAAAAGCAAAATGAGGCCTTTATCATGAAGTTGTATTGGCTTTTCATCAAGCAACAACATAAATCATAAGTCCAAGCTCTCAAAGAGAAACATAAATATGGGGGTGGAGTGCTACTTAATATTGCTAAGAAAAGAAGTGCTTCTCTTACTTAGAGAAGCATACTCGATTTTGAATAAATTGAAAGAAGGCTTAGCCGCTAAGAAAAGTCTGACCCAAAGCACTCTATTCTGGATTAACGTGTGGTCCAATTTAAACACCAGCATTCTTAAGCGTGTTCCTAACTTGCTGGGACTTATTGATATAGAAAAAAAAGTGTAATATTCTTCCATCGGGTGATTAGAACAAGTATGAACTGAAAACACTCCTTTCAAGACATGCGGTTAATATTCTCACTCATGCCAAGCCTCGAGTTGGTCTAGAGAGAGTTTTTATATGGAAACACTCTAAAGATGGATGGTTTACTATTAGATTTGTATATGATTTCTTATTTGCAGGTACACTAAGACTTTCAACACCTTAATTGGAGATCTATATGGCAACTATAGATTTTGAAAAAGATGAAATTCCTTTCGTGGTTGATGGTGCATAGAGCTATACAAACTATTAATCTACACCAAAGAAGGGGATTACTTCAATCAAACTTGTGCCCACAAGGATGTACTAATGCAAAGGATGAGATTTATTTATTCAAAGATTGCAAGGAGGTAGAGAGCAGATGGAGCCAATTGATTTCTCAAAGTCATTGGCATGGTTTTAAAGAGGTCACGTTTTGTAATAGTTAACCTTGAATCTCAATGGTAATATAGGCAATCAAAGGAAAAAGCAATTTCTTGGAAAGTTTTCTTTCCTTATACATGCTGGGAAATCTGGAAATCAAGATGAAATACCATTTCAACAATGATGAAAGGAGTAACCAACAAGCTAATACAGAAATGTTGTTATTCAAAGTGATCCAAGATAGGGAACTACTGTTTTCAATAAATTCCTTAAGACAAGGGCCCTTGGTTACCTTAAACCAAGCTAATAATGATCCTGATCTTGTGAGGTTAGAGGTAGCAGGGCAATCAATATTAGACGGACATCAAATTGGTGTTGCTGTGATAAGAAGGCAATGTGATTCCTCTAAGCTGGGATTTTTTTTTTTATAAAGGTGGAAAACTCTCCAAGCGAATTTGTGGTTCTTCATTCGGTACTATTAGGACTAGAAAAATGCCGGAATGAAGGTTATAAAAAGATTAAGGTGCATTGTCATTGTGCTATTAGCTTTAATCTTTTCAGTAGGGACACCTCAGCAACAACCCACTGCATGATCTTGCTAAAGTGAGGAAAATATTTCTAAGAGATTAGAACGTTTCTTTTAATTACTCTTGTAATAACATTAGGTTCACGTTTGATTACTGAAATAAAATGAAATGGAATGGATTGAAAAAACTCAAGATAAAAATGAATTAAATTACCCTTCTCCTCATAACAAGCATGATAAAACTCACTAATATATACTGCAAATGTAAAAATCATTGCACTTTTAGAAATTTCATTAATCATAATTCTCAATTTTATAAACTAAATTACTCCTTCCTTTATAAATATACTCACCTATTCTCTTTAATCATCTTATTTTTACCTTTATTTTCTTAATCCATTCCATTCTATTTTTTTTCAATAAGCAAGTGAAATCTAGCTCTTTTGTCGATGACGATTTAAGCACAAGTCATCATAGTATTGATTTCTTTGGTTCCTTTTACCATCAACCTTATCGTATTATATGCCTTTCATTCACCATCATTTTTCTCCCACTGACCATTGCCGACGCTTGTCCACCACCAACCTTCTCATACACCAACGACACTCTTTCGCTGGAAACCTCCTCTGCCAGTGACCCTTCATCTTCCTTCATCCACTGACAAACTAGGCACCTCCATCCTTCGAGTTTGTTCTTGCTTGCAATCTCCATTGAGCTCCAAAATGGATGAACATTCCCCTACCAACAAAACTCCTCCACTAGCGACATTACTCCCTGCAACACTAAGCTTTATCGCTTGCTCCAGATTTGTTTTTCTTTCTTTTTTGCTTTGAATGAACTTGATTGTAGGAGGATGGTGAGAACAAAATGTTCTAGTCGTAGATGTTGCTGACAGCATGAGGAAGACAGAAGAGGAAGGATGAACGGAACAAGGAGCAAAATTTGAGGGGGGGGGGATGTTGGTGGCGATGGCTGAGACTTGGAGGAAAGAGGAAGGAGTGAACAAAAGGGCCCTTTGATTTTTGTGTGCAAGGCATTTTTGTCCTTTGATTCATTGTATTCTAATTAAATATAAATAATAAATTTAGTTTTACTATTTTTAATGACATTTACCATCCCAATGGCCACCCAATTTATCATCTAGAGATAACAACGAATTATTGAATAACAAATAGTATAAAAAACTGTAAAACTGCAGTTGATAAGTACAGGGTATTTATGATTACAGACGTAGTTTAACTATCTTAGACAATATACTATAGTTTAACTATCTTAGACAATATACTATTTTACATAGGGTCACGACAAGCAAAACGTTGTATCGTGAGGCCTTAAAATGCTGTTCGATGGGCATGACAAAATGAGTTTTTTTTTGAGAACAAAAAAATTAGCACCGAGGCGCGCCATTCGTCAGCCTAAATAATATATTTGCAGATTAGAAGTGGAACTCATCTTGAACTTCTATGTTAAGTGGTAAAGTCATGAAGGAAGCAGCATCCTATTTACTACATCATGCAGCTAATGGTCTCGTTTAGTTACGTGGCTATGCTGAGAGAAGGAGATTAGTAAAAGTGGTCTAACCATACGATACGCATCTTCTTTCCTCCCGATCCTCAAGCCCTTGCCTTTCTATCCGATGAGAGTAAAAATAAAGACATACAAATCATCAACCCATATGAAGATCGAAGTACAATATAAGATTGTCTGAATAATTGAACCAAGGAAAAAAAAAAACGCTTTCCATGAAAATAATGTATACTCACCATTTCTAGTTCTAGAAAAGCAAAGGTACACGAGACGCCCGCAAACCTCCAAGGCAAGCCACTGAGAGGACAACATACAATAACGCTAACGCCCCAGAAGGTAGCGGGATATTGTTTGTAGAGGGAAGAATTGCTATAAACATCAAATCAAAAGGCAAGGAGAGAATACCTCCTATCTGGGCATGATAATCTTTCTCAGCCTACCAACAAAAAGAAGAACTTGTGAGCATAGTATGTAGCACAAGAGGCTGGCCAAACTGATCAAATAGTAGCACTTTCCATTATTAACCAAAAAA